AGCTCGACAAGGATAGTATTGGGATATCGGGCGGCCAGCGGCTTGTGAAGGGGATGCTATTTGTGAAAGCCGTGACGCTGTCGTGCGGCTCGACACTCGTTCAAAGCTCCATCAGTCGTGATTAGCAAACAGCAAAAGCAGCAGAGTCACCCGCAGTCACACAAGGCCTAAGACCACAACTCGGATGTCCCCCTGTTCTTCGCACTGTTACTACAGACCCACTAATACGAAAGTAAAGTGGGCTGTGGCGGACACTCGTCAACCATCTCATTGGAATAATCGCAATTGATGATGAAAAATAAATAAGTAAATGAATAACAGAGGTGAGGGCAAAAAGAAAGAGACGAGAAGACTACAGCATCAACAGTAAGCGATGTATGGATTTCATTGCTGCTTAATGTTCCACGCTGCCAAATCATCAATGCATTGGTGAGGAGAGGCTACATAGTATAATAAAAATGTGCCCCCGAATGTTCATTGTTTTACATGCAGAGAAATGCATCCATTTTTCGGGACATTTAGAAAGATGCCACAGTGATTTCGTTCACATGTGGATATAAAAAGTCGACACACCCCTGTTCAAATGCCAAGTTATTGTGATCAAGATAAGTCGTTTAAAAACCCGTCACAGCAGGCGTGTGGACAATCTGTGCAATCCCATTTGGAGTCTGTTTACAATTTTATGTGCACATTATCCTGGAAAATGTTTTGAAATGATTTATTTTGGTGTCACTCTTTTTATATCAGAAAAACCTGGCATTTCAACAGGGTTGATTTTTATTTTTTATTTTATATTCACTTCACACCATGTTGACATTTTACTCCCTATGAGAAAGATCGTGAAGCACCAGTGCTGTTCATTCATTGTTCATTTCTGCTGTTGACATTTTTCTTTAAGCTGCACTGGGACCGAGTCTTTTTCGACTTGTAGCTTTAACAGTTGTATTTGGAAGGCTTGATCTCTGCGCCCCTTTCCTTGTCACAGCCTGCAATCAACCCAAAGCCCTGACGTGTTTTTTTACTCTGAACTAAGCCTGCTATCCTTTGCAACTCCTTCATATCAGCTCACTCCTATATCCTTTATCAATGCCATTCCTCTCTTATACCATTCTCTTCTCTTCGATGTTTTATATAGACAAACCCTATGGAAATGATTCGAGGGTGAATCCGGTACAGATTCTGCAGGTCGGGCTTCTTTCTATTCATTTCGACTCCTTCTTGGACATCACATTAAAAGCAGACAGAAAATGCACGCAGACTATTGCAACTACAGTCCAAGACTACTGTTACCTTGACTTAGGAGTTTAATTTGTTCCATGACCAAGCTTGAAACTCAAGGCGGATTGGGGCTTTGGGGATAAAAATTAAACATTGTTTTTTTTTTTTTTTTTTTTTTTTTTAAATTAGCAAAATTATCACAAAATCCCTGTTTGACGAGCAGCTCCAGTGTAACGGATGAAAACAACGGCATTGCAGATTCATTTGAACATCATTTTACAAAATTTTTACTTTCAATTTGAAGATCAATTTTGTGCCAGTATCCTCTATATAGAAGGCACAACTCTGAGACATCAAGTTGAAGCGAACTGCAAGTTGTTTTAATCCACTCCTTAAACAGACCCTTAAATTACACCAGGAAATATGCTGTATTTAGACCAGAGAATAAACTATGCCACCTTTGGGCACACGACTCCCTTTTTGAGGTCTAACGTAATACCACAGTTTACCCTTATACCATGTTCGTGCATACAAGATTTGTTAAACTTGATTTATACCTGGCTTAATGTATTCTGCCGCTATTCTACTTTCATGCATACAGTTAGTTACGAGGCAGTTTTTACTAATACCATGTTCATGCATCTACCAATAGTGGTAAAACCCTTGTTTTATTGCTGCTTTAATCTATACTTCTGCTATTCTGCTTTCATACATATGGTTCTCCGGAAATGCATTCAAAACTAATGGGAAACATAATTTAACAAACATTGGTTAAAATGATGAACAAAAACAACGAGCCGCTGATGGTGTCGTGGTGCACTCGGTTGGCTTGTGTGCTGGAAACGTGGGATCGGTTCCCACTCAGTGACAGTGTGATTGTGGGTGTGAATGGTTGGGTGTCTATATGTGCCCTGCAAGTGACTGGCGACCAGTTCAGGGTGTAATCTGACTTTCGCCCAAGGTCAGCTGGGACGGGCTCCAATAAACGCTGTGAACCCTCTTCAGGATAAGCGGTGTTGAAAATGGATGCATTTATGTACAATAAACAACAGCATCAATGAAATGAGAAAGACTGAAAGGAAACAGGGAAGTCACTACAAACAAACTGACAGGGCAACAAAGCAAGACACAAATGGGCGGACGGAGCTGACTGGTAGACACAAAGAACAGGGGCAAACTGAACCCTAATGAGCAGATGTGGAAAAAAAAAGGGACACAGGGAAAACCTGACAAAAAACATGAAACAAAACTAAATCGAATGAATACTAAATCAACAAAACTACAGCACCCGATACACCTCTTTTGCACATACACAACGAATTAATTTTTCTCGTTCTATTAAAATTCACAAAGCGTCACTGCAGTATAGCCTTGACAACCGCAGAAGAAACAGCTCATCATCTTCATGACACACCACTCTATGCCACAGTGGTTTCTCCAAAAGTCTTCCTCCCTATAAATCATGATGCCCATGAGTTGATCAATAGCAAGTCAATTAGCAGGCAGCGAGAGACGAAGGTCTCAGGATGTCATTGCCTGTTTGTTTCATCTGACAGTCTCATCTGTGCCGACCACAAAGCTGGCTTCGTTATTCAGCACAAGAGTGCATATAAATGCGTAACATCGTGTCAATCTTATTAATATCAAAATGAGTGGAACATCTTGTTATAATGCATCATTTTGTGCTACCCTGATAAACTATCAAATAACTTGCACATTGTCTCTCAGTAGAATGTGGCTCGCTAATGTACACAAAACAGTGTCAAATTACGCTCTGCCTATTTGTCACAAAGCACACACTGCATACCATATCACACAAACCCGGTCATAAGCAGCAAATATATAAAATGCCAGCCATTCTCCCCCTTTTTGCGATACAGGCAAACGAGAAAGATTTTCGACAAGTAATTGTCATTGATCCGAAAATCCAACTCAAATTGTGTTGTTGTCTTCCCAGCAAACAAATCTGTCGAAAACACCCCCATAGTCTTTTTCTTGGTCATAAAATGTAATAACAGTCCGGCTTTTCAAATGATGGTATCTTGCTTTGTCTGAAAAGCTTGCCTTTTACTTTCCTGCACAAAATCAGCCCAAAACACATGAGTTATTCTGCACTTATTATGCGTTCACACACACAAACGCACGCACGCACGCGCACGCGCACACGCACACGCACACACACACACACAAATCATCTCCACTTACATAGCCATTCTGATGATTTCAGCGGTGCTTGATCCTGACCCAAGGTGATCGCCAACATCAGTGATTCCCAAATTGAGGTAAATGCTGGGGCGTAAGCAGAAATTATTTTAGTGAGGTGACCAGGGTGACACAACACCTCAGTGAAGGATGGCCAGTGGTGGCCGTGCATCATAGCATCCACAGTCAAAGTTTCATGAAATGAAATTCAAACTTGGGCCCCACCGATTATTTCTGAGGCCGATGCCATTGCAGAGATTTGCTTTGTTTTGGATGACAAGCCCATAAAATTATCTTTCGAACTAATGTCTCTCTCTCTCTCTCTCTCTCTCTCTCTCTCTCCCTCTGTGTGTGTGTGTGTGTGTGTGTGTATATATATATATATATATATATATATATATATATATACACACACACACACACACACACACACACACACAGAAAGTTAGATTTCGAGTTAACCAGTATGCATGTGTTTTTGGAATGTGTGTGTGTGTGCGTGTGTGTGTGGGGAGCAGGGGTGGCCAGAGAAAACACAAAAAAGCATGGGACAACAAACTACCATCCCCAGTCTAGGAAGGCTTGAGCTGAGATTTGAAACTTGGAGGTCAAACATGTAAATTGCAGAAAACATACATTTTTCTGCATATTTTAATGTCATAGACTGAATATGGTACATCTTCAAACGGACGTGACATTTAAATGACATTTTAAAATGACAACCCTAAGTTCTTCAGCAAGATATCTGGCCACCTTCTCGATGCTATGGCTGGTTCTTTTTTAGTGCTGGACCAAATTTGTCAGCTACAACCGATTTTCTCCCTGTGAATCAAACATCGCTTTGTAAGAATTGCCTTAGGCCTGCAGTTAAAGATTCTTTTAATAATCGATTAATCTGTTGATTATTCAGTCTACTTTCATGGAGGACTACAGACATTGGCCAATATTTACAGCTGAGAAGCTGAAATGCAGAGCTTTTGGACACAACACTGGAAGTTAAAAAAATCTATCTAAATGATTAATTGAACATCAAAAATAATGCTCAATTAGTTTGAGAAATGATTAGTTGTCAATTAATCATTACACGTCTAAATTGCTGATCGCAACACAGTATATACAACACATTTTCGCGACTTAAATAGACTAAATATAACATTTCATTTTGCCATTATAAGAAAGTTGCGGACAAAACCAAATTCCTTTACTTATTAAATTCCAGATATCAATTCTCTCTCTCTCTTTCTCTCTCTCTGTTGCTCTCTCCACACCCCCTTCCCATCTACATTTTAACATATACACATTTGGTTGTGATTGGACAAATTTTACATGTTGTTGTCATTCTTTAATTGTGCATAATCTGCTGTTTGGTGGGGTAGAAAATGTGTTTGTCTGCAGCCCAAACTATGCACATGTGGAAAACCACTACTGCTCTGAACTTGTTCCCCGCACCCCCCCCCCCCCAAAAAAAATATCAGCTGTTTGCATCAGGTGGCCAGGGTTGACTGTTGGGATTCTGACAAGGAAAGAGTATAAATACAAGCCACAAAAGTAAAGACAGCATCAATTACTGTGTATGGAGCTTTGACTCCTGGTAACAGATGCCTCAAGCTGTGAGAAACAAACACATTGAGGAGTGTGTTTAGGCCTATCGCTCCAGGGCTTCCCTTGTGCCCTCACGCAGAGAGGAGCCCCGAGGGACTGACGCCAGCTGAGAATGAAAAACAAGGTAGGAGCCCAGCTGACTCTCATGTACACAGGCTCAGCTGTTTGTCTCAAAAGAGACTTCAGCATGAGAAGTAAATAAAGGCCTCTAAAATGAAAGAGCTTTCTAGGGAGCATGCTGATAGATGGTTAGACACGAGATGCTTCTGGAAGAGCGCCATTGGTATAATATGGTAAGGTTTAAATAGTTAACAGATTATTCAACATTGTTTTGACCAGCTTGCTTTAATGTCTGATGTGGTCATGGAATTTAGCTAGGATAAGATAAACACTGTCATGTTTCCAGTATCGTTGATCCTTCCCGTACATCCCATATGTTCACTTATCTGCTGAATTATAAGCTGTTAAACCGAACAATGTTGTATTTGGAATAATTCATCATGATCTCGATTCAGTGTGATGGCTTCTTGTTTTCTTTTCCTCCTTACCTCTCTAGCCACTATCAATGTATTGTGAAATAAGTATAACTGTCTTCAATTCCTCCCCCCTGCCTTCACAAAGCCAGTTTATGGCTCCCGGGGCTCGGATTCGCTATCCAGCTTAGAAAATGACAAATATAAAGGACTGACAGTCTTGCAGGGATAAGGGGGGCGATTTAGCAAGTGCTCTGTGTCAAAGAAATACAGTCTCATAGGCTCCTAGAGCAGGAAGAATGGAGATGAGAGAAATGAAGATCCTTGGCGTTGTGTCGATCACACAGTGTTTGTTTCATGCGTTCAGTATATTGGCAATGCACGTCAGTAGTCACTGCCTTTTTCAGTGGATCTTAGGGTATGTAAAGAAGTGTTTTATTGGAATCACATACAATGGTTCGGGCTCCAAGCTCAAATACCCTTGCTGGGGACTAATGAGTAATTGAAATCCAACATCATTTTCTGTATCCTTAAATCTGTCTCTCCGCTGCACTTTTCTTCCCATACTTTTTTTGAGGTCTGTGAAGATTAGTCACCCAGAGCTTTTGAATGCATGCACATCTCACTTTCCTTCTCATTGCATCCCCTTCTTCTCTCCCAGGCTTAAGTCCAATTATGGCAGAGGAAAGCCTGGAGACAGATGGCCCCAGATCATCCATGCCGGCTGAGCTCCCCCATCCCTACTCTAAGTACACTCAGTGGAAGTTTAAACTGTTTAGAGTGAAGTCCATTGAGAAGGCCCCTATGTCCAGTGAGAAGGAAGCCATGTCAGGGATCTCTAAACCTAACCTTGGTACAGCTCCAAATATACTCCTTGATAATGGTACGACTACAGGGAGTGTTATCAAATTGTGTCTCGGTGGGAAAAGCAAGGAAACTGCTGAACCACTTCACCAGAGCATGGATCTGAAGCTCGAAGAAACTGACAACCACATAAAGCACCTCAGGTGATGAGTGAACATGAAACCTTTCTTGATATTCTTCTATATTTGATCTCTCTTTGACAGAAACAGTAATGCATGTTTTCTTTTGAAGATGTCTGTGCCGTCTTTGTGGAATCCTGCTAAGGAAAGTCAGTGGCCCAATCCATGATGTTCACGCAGTTCTGGATAATGACAGCAAGAATTCCCTCCGCAAAATGGGCTGCACATTCACAAAATGGCCGGAGGTCATACACAAAGTCTTTAAAGTGGACGTAACAACAGATACAGAATCTGTTCATCCGCTTTCCTTCTGCCATCGCTGCTGGATGACTGCTATACGGGGAGGGGGGGTATGCAATTTGTCCGAGACAAAAGTCCCCGAGTGGAAACCTCATTGTGCTCTCTGCCACCTGTGTTCGCCTAAGAAACAATCATTCCACACGACTGGCAGAAAAAGGAGAACAGCCACTTCCAGAGCCCACAGCTTTGTCAAAAGAACCAGGTTGGAGCACAGCCATATCACTGTCAGCAGTGAAGGTCGAGTTCTGAGACCATTTGGCAGCCACCTTCATGGTGCTGCCCTTAAGACATGGAAAAGTCCCAGTATCCAAAGGAAGCACTGGATGAGGACCATCACACACTGTCAGAAACAACACCTGAGTAGCAAGCTTATGTCTGAGAATTTCCCTGTTGATTTCCTCCGTTCTTTCACTTGCATGGTGTGTGACCATCTGCTCTCTCACCCAGTTCAAGCCCCCTGCGGCCACCTCTTCTGCCACAGCTGTATTATAAAATACAAAAACTTGATAGGGCCTCACTGTCCTGCCTGCAACTTACCCTGTTCCAGCGATGACCTCATTCCTCCCGCAAAAACTTTTTTGTTCGTCCTGCATTCTCTGCTTTTGATCTGCCCAAGAGATGGCTGCGGTCAGCATGTAAGACTGGACTCATTTAAAGCTCACTGTATGAGCCATGAAGCGCAGGATGCACGGCAGCAATCATCACAGCTTGACGACTACCTGGTTGCCAATAAAGGGGGAAGGCCTCGCCAACACTTGCTATCCCTCACGCGTCGAGCCCAGAAGCATCGACTGAGGTCTCTGAAGAAACAGGTGAGGATGTTTGCGGATAAAGAAGAAGGCGGCGACCTAAAGTCAGTGTGTCTGACGCTGTATCTTCTGGCGCTGAGATCTGCGAATGAACACCGAATGGCAGATGAGCTGGAGGTCACAATGCAAGGTAAGTGGTTATGAATCAGTCTCTTGTTCAATCGGTGCGCACCGCCTTCGCACCGAAAGACAGACACAAACAAATTAATTAGATCTCATTAATTTCTGCCCTAGTCTGAGGGCTGCTCTCATCCCTTAATTAACAATGAGTTGAAAAGTTCACTGTTTAGGAGAGATTTTCTGTGCTTTTCATGCTTGTCCATCTCTATCTATTAAAGTACCATTCTTGGCCCTTCTTGAATTTCTCCAGCCCTCACTTTCTTTCTGCCCGACTGTCAGACTTTCATTTTCACTCCCCTTTTGATATACGATAACAACTCATGCGAAGGGCCCATTGGAATCAGAACATCAGCAGCTCTCGTATCTGCAAATGACACAGACAACACCAAAGTTTCCATTTGGGAATTGAAGCCAGCCAGTGTCAGTTTTCATTTGTAGCCAATACATCTCATCTTTTCAGCGACTACATTGTTTCCCCCTGCAGCCCATTATGACATTTAGAAATAAGGAAATATTACATTAGTTATCCAAAGGTTTGTGTGCTCTGGACAATGATACATTTACGGTCTTGCTGTGCTGTGGTAGGAACGACACCACATTCGAATGAGAAAAAGTTCATCTCTCCAGCTCTTTTGGAAGTTTGAGCTTCACAGTTTGGTCCTGAATTATTCTCTTAGTGCGCTTTTCTATCATCCTTTGTTGTTTCTGTTTTATTTTGCCTCTTTCTGTGTTCGACTGAAACTTTTTAATTTGTCTCTATCTACAGGCAGAGGCTTTGCATTACATCCTGCTGTGTGTTTGGCTATCCGGGTCAACACCTTCCTGAGCTGCAGCCAGTATCACAAAGTGTACCGGACTGTCAAAGCCACCAGCGGCCGCCAAATCTTTCAGCCTTTACACGCTTTGCGAGCTGCAGAGAAAGAACTTCTCCCTGGCTTTCACCAGTTTGAATGGCAGCCAGCTCTCAAGAACGTGTCTGCATCTTGCAATGTCAGGATCATAAATGGGCTCTCTGGATGGACTTCGACTTTGGATGACTCACCACCTGAGACCATCACACGTCGATTCCGCTACGATGTGGCTCTGGTGTCAGCAATAAAGGATCTGGAGGAGGACATAGTGGAGGGTATGAGAGAGAGGGGGATGGAAGACAGTGCCTGTACCCTAGGCTTCAGTGTTCTGATCAAAGAATCTTGTGACGGCATGGGAGATGTCAGTGAAAAGCACGGCGGAGGCCCAGTTGTTCCTGAGAAAGCTGTTCGCTTCTCTTTCACCATTATGTCTATTTCTGTATTGCTAGATGAAGGTAATAGGCAGGAGGTTACAATCTTCACTGAGCCAAAACCAAACTCAGAATTGTGCTGTAAGCCCCTCTGTCTGATGTTTGTGGACGAAGCGGACCACGAGTCACTCACAGCTGTCTTGGCGCCCATGGTCGCAGAGCGTAACGCAATAAAGGAGAGCAGGCTTATCCTGACCATAGCCGGCCTGCCTCGATCTTTCCGCTTCCACTTTAGAGGGTCGGGATACGATGAAAAGATGGTACGTGAATTTGAGGGCTTGGAAGCCTCCGGATCCACTTACGTCTGCACACTGTGTGACTCCAGTCGAGTGGAGGCTGCTAAAAATATGGTGCTCCACTCCGTCACACGCAGTCATGATGAGAACCTGGCACGTTATGAAATCTGGCGAACCAACCCATTTTCTGAGTCTGTAGAGGAACTGCGGGACAGAGTCAAAGGCGTCTCTACCAAGCCCTTCATAGAGACCCATTCCACACTTGATGCGTTGCACTGTGAGATTGGAAATGCCACAGAGTTCTACAAAATTTTCCAGGACGAAATAGGGGAGGTGTACCGAAAGGAAAATCCCAGCCGGGAGGAACGACGCAGCTGGCGGGCAGCCCTAGATAAAGAACTGAGGCAGAAGCTGAAGCTCAAACCTGTGATGAGGATGAACGGCAACTACGCCCGTAAGCTAATGACCCTTGAGGCGGTGCAAGTGGTGTGTGAGCTGGTCCCCTCGGAGGAGAGGAGGGAGGCCCTGAGGGAGCTGATGAGGCTGTATCTTCAGATGAAGCCTGTGTGGCGCTCCACCTGCCCAGCCAAGGAATGTCCTGACCAACTCTGCCGCTACTCCTTTAACTCCCAGAGTTTCGCTGACCTAATCTCCACTACCTTCAAATACCGCTACAAAGGTAAAATAACCAACTACCTGCACAAGACCCTGGCCCACGTCCCCGAAATAATAGAGCGAGATGGATCTATCGGTGCTTGGGCCAGTGAGGGGAACGAGTCGGCGAACAAACTGTTCAGGCGTTTCCGCAAGATGAACGCGCGCCAGTCAAAAGCCTTTGAGCTGGAGGATGTCCTGAAACATCACTGGCTCTACACGTCAAAGTACTTGCAGAGGTTCATGCAGGCTCATAAGTACTCTGTGAAAACCCTGCAGGCAACCATTGACCCTGCAGAGATCCAGGACAGTAAAAGTATGTCGCAGGAGGTCATTGATTTTTGATTTTGAAATTAACCCGAAAGCTTTGATTTATTTAATGTTCCAAGTTGTTAAATAACACACTATTTACTAAAAAAATGATGACAATGAGTGGAAATATTTATTTTTAGTAGTTCATGTAATAACCAATAACCAAGCAACCAAAGGCCAATTTTAAGTTTATTTATTCATTCATTTATTGTTCATTAATGTTGGACGATGTTAAGGCTGTTGGACTAGTTAATTGTGTATCTTGGCTGTTTGGATGGTTACTGTGTAGGAACGGATTGTAAATTGATATAGACGGTAACCCACAGACTCATTTTGCAACACAAAAGTAATTTCCCCGCCCTCCAATATGTGAAGTATAGCTCAGTTTATTGTATTGCAAGGATGTGACATTTTTATGACTTTATCAAGTGAATATTTACGGAGCCAGATGAAAATGGTGGAAGTCATTATGGGGAAAGTGTGTTAAGTTGACCATATTTGTGGATTTGTGGCCATTTCGAATGGAGAGAAACCCATTCACAGAGTTTAATGCTCTTTGTTTCATGACTGCCCTCTGCAAAAGATTAATTTATTGCTTTATCCTGGCACCCCTAAGGGCCGAATATATGCCAGGTCACTTTGAACCGAATTTTATCTTTTTTATTTTGCGCGTCTCAGATGATACATCATGCTTATTCGACACCTTCACATAAAATAAAGCATCTAATGGCCTTTTTCATATATCATGAAAATGCAATTTACAGCCAAACACCAAGCCCAGTCTTGAGCAGGGATTTTTCTTTAGCTTGGTACAAAACTGCACTTTTCCTCTTTTGACATTTCTTCATCACAATGGCCCGAGATGGAAGAAAGACAGAAGGACGTTGTGTAAACTGAGTTTGTTGGCAACTTTATTTCTTTGATCGATTGCATTGTCTCTTCCTGCCCTTGACATTTGTGGGTGCGGCAAGCAATTTTGTTTTCTTATTTTATTGGATGTGTGATTCCATTTTACTGTCATAAGTGCAACAATACAACAACGTGGCTGTCACCGGCCTCAACAGGCATCATCTTTTAGAATGCATTTTATGACGGCGTGTCTCAAAGTTGTGTTTTGCCAAAATAAATTGCGCTTCCAAGTAAATCGGTGATGGATGATTCACAAGCATTTCTGTCTTAGCTTTCCTCATTTTCTCGTTCCCTTCTCCAATAAATTACATGCCAGTTTGCACACCAGGTTTTCACAGTTGAAAGTGTTTTTTTTCCCCCTCTTTCTTATTTTTAATAAAGTCAACATCATTCAAACTAAATTTCCAAGTAATTATTTCTCCATTCCACTGTATCTTTAAACCATATTTAATTGTAGATTCTTTTTTTTCTTCGATAGTATGCTTTCAGAGATAGCCAAAATGATTTAATTGTGTTTCTTTTCATACCATTTAGATAATATGCACTGAGTAACTCTTTGGATTTTCTTTTATATATTAATGAATACATTTGACATGTAATCTGCAGTTCTTTCAATTTTTTTTGCTACTTTCAACAGTGCAGAAATATTTCAGTTTATTTGAAAAACATTAGAATTGATCAAATTCAGATTATTTTTTTAATAACATACATACTATCACTTATAGAGAGCACTTTTATACCTTAGGTCACAGGTGTCGAGGTCAAGGCCCGGGGGCCAGATCCGACTAGCCATGTCATTTTATGTAACCCGGAAAAGCAAATCATGTGTGTCAACTTCTATGATTCTTGGTAAGATATGTACCAAAATGTCAAATTGTCAGGTGTAATAAATAACGTTGAGATTTTGCAATCATTTTGTTACCCTGTTTATACTCGAACGATAATTGAACAATCTATTATGATTTCAAAACTAGTTATCCATCAGTTTTTTGTGTACAAGTAATAATACAATGAGACGATTAGACATTGATTTGGTTTTATTGTCATAACGGCCCTCCGAGGGAAGACGTAACTCCAAAGTGGCCCGTGACAAGAAATGAGTTTGACCCCCCCCCCCCTGCCTTTACACTGTGCTTTACACTGTTTCCTCATTCACCTACCGATGACAATCGCAAACACTTGGAAAAACAAACAAGCAAACAAACTGTCTTACAATTTATTTATCCTACGATCCAACATCAACACAAGGGGGACTGAAAATTTACAATTTATTATCAAAAACACTGTGTGAGATTGTAATTTCATATATCCCTTTTACACAAAGTTCAGTTGCACAATAAGTTAAATTGCACACCGGGTTTCATAGAAAGTCAACAGAAACGATTCAAATTGAGTTTCATGACACAATACTGGGTCAAATGTATGTAAATATATAATTAACATCCATTTGAGATTATTTTCTCGTGTTACTATTTGAATCAGTCCAGAAAGTTAAAGGCAAAATAGATTTTGTTTATGTTTCGATTAAAAAAAAAAATTGTGAGGACACGTAAACTGTTTCTTCACAATTCATTTTGCGGATTAGTTTTCTGTTTGAACCAAAGGAACCAATTTTGACTTAACTTCACAACAACAACACAACACAAGGGCCATTAAAAAGCTGCAAAGAAAAACAAGCGGCAAAGACTCATTTCCATAGTTTCTTTTGGAATAATCACAAATGCAGAAGAAAATACTCTTACTGATAGGCATTAACACACCTGTGACACACCTTTCTTAGCTTTAACACTCAATTCGTACAGTGACTTTAATATTTCAATTTTGTATTTGTCTGTAACCTATTTTCATTTTTACTCCCTCCTTCAGGGGTTACCAAATTGGGGCCGGCGGGCCTCCAAGGACAACTGCCCGCAAACCTGTTCTGAAAATAGTTGATAGTTGGAATATTGGAGAAGTGATCATTTGAAAATTTGAACAATGGCAGAGATTTACAGAAAAAAAAGTGTTGCATTTTGATATGTATCTGTTTTTCTTTTAGTTATGTTATAATAGGGTCATTTGTAGTTTGAGAAATGCGTTTCAAACTGCAAGCGCTTCATCTAATCATCACTCATGAAGCAGCTGTCATCTTCAAAATGGTCGGTGACTCCTGCTCTATATGACAAAGACAAATTTCACACACAGATATTTCTCGGCTGTCACTTCACAACCTCAATAAAACGTGTTAAACAAAAAGTCTCCTGAAAACGCCTTTTTTGGTTCTGGACATCTTGAAAGCTGTCTGGGGTTTCCTCTGTTTCACTTTTAAAGGGGGACGTGTTAGTGGCATGACCTTTTGAGGTGGGGTCATCCCCTGGATAGGAAGACCCCCATGTTCTAAGCAGAAGTATTTTTTGTTGCCCTGGGAGAGTGTTAGGAGCAGTGTCTCAGACAGCTCCATGCACTGAGCGTGGACCCAGTGCCCGGCCTCTCCTGTGGAGCAAAAGATCATGGCTGGTCGTTGGAGCTCAGTGGTGTAATACGGCTCCCATGTACTGAGATCCAGCTGACAACTATGGCTACATTTGATCCAGTAGCCTGATTGTGACTCATCCTCCTCATCTTTCTCATTGTAGCTATTATCTTCACCTTCACTACTCCCATCCAATTCTTGAGGCTCACGACCAAAATAGAGCTCGTCTGAATCTTCTAGAGGAGTAGAATTGTCATAATCTGTCAGCTCCTGGCTGCAAACCTGCTGGGCTTGTATGCCTTCTTTGGCGTCTTCCACTTTCTGGAAGTTTACGAGGTAAAAGTATTGCATATTTGTTTGGCACGATCTGCGCTCACTTGGCACAGCTAGCAACATACTTTGTTCCCCTGCAGCACCGCCATACCAAGTTTGACTGTGGATGATATCTGGGGTCCATTTTGGCGGTTCAAGAGGTTCGATGTGAATCCCCTTCTCATCCAGAATGACAGTGCTGCACTCCATTCTTTTCTGAGACTTTGACTGATATCCTCCCAATATGATATAGTTGTGAGCGGGGCCTGTGCGAGTGATGATCGCACTTGAGATAGATAGACCAAAGTCGAGAAGCTCACATGACAATAATGGACAACCTTGGAGGAGATCGACGTGCAGACAAAAGAGCTGAGGTGGTCGGCCGTCACATTTCAAAAAGTGACCCCCGAGGATGTAAACATGGTCCTCTCTCGCAAGGGCCACATGGAAAGACTGTCCGTCAGTGAGCTCTGGAAAAGTGTAAGCAGAACAACAACCAAACTGCCTGTCAAACAAGAACACTTGAGGAGGACAGTCGATCACACGGTTCCAGTTCTCTGAGGTCCTCTCTTTTGCGGGCATGTAGGACCTTCCACCAAAAACTACAAAGGCAGTCTTCCCTCTGCTCTGAACCACACTGACTGTGTGGCCATATCTGGCACCTGGCACTTCTCCGACCAGTTCTTCCTCTTTACACCGCAGGGTCAGTTTGCGATTGCCGCCACGACTATCGATGCTAAGTGCATAGAGACTGGATGAGATGTCATTGTTGGGGGTGCGGCCGCCATGGATGAGATAACTTTCCGGAAGTCCATCGTGTGGATCAAGGCGGCAAACAGCAGGACAGCGCAAGGGAGGAAGGTATTGGGAGTCACTGGAGAAAGATATGGCTCTCAACCTGAGCTCACCATGTTTCAAGTGCACGGCAAATACGCCTGTTGGACAGGAGCGCTTTGGCCATCCTTTCTGGCCAAATAGGAGAACTTCACCATCAAGATGTAGAAGAGAACAACCGGTTTGCAGAAGGCCTTCGCAGTTCACTGGATTTAATGGCTGCAGAGTCATCGTGGGTGCAGGTGTCTGCTTCAAAACAACACACACATGCACACAAACACATGCATGCATGCACACAAAGATGTTGTTTTCATCACCTTTTAAAATAACTTACTGGTCATCATCTTTATCGCCATAATGGTTCTCGCCCTTAACTTCATAACCTATTAAACATTGAACCTCATACGCGGACGTTACAATAAAATTGTAATTAGAATCACCCACAGTTGTAAAGCCTTTTCTGTTATGCCACAAGTTAATTCAGACTGAATCGAGTGGCGTTAATTTGCGGTAACTGGCTCTGCAAACCAAACGATGATAACCACAACAATAATAATTGGCTATCGGACAAGCAACTTCGTTATCCCATCAATCCTTGCTTGTATCATCTTTATAGGCTAACAATGGTTAATTGGGTTATTTGTCTACATAACGCTGCTCTTTATTTGGCCACACAGTGTTTTAAATTGGCTGCATTTAATGTGGCGCTGGAGCAACAAGTCATTAAAATGTTATCAGCCTAATCTAAAAGTTTGGTTCATCATTACTGAAGTACAGTTGCTAGACAAACACAATGACAAAACTAAACACTTCAGTATCAACAGGACATGTTGGAATTTATTTTCAGCATTCCTTTCATCATGCCATTTTTATATCCGCTGCGGGTAGCAGAACCTTTACACTAATACACTCAACTGACTAAAGTGGCCATGCAAATTTGTAACCTCATAACTTCCAGTTATTTCCGATCAATTTTAATGCACTTACCTTGCAGTCAGGGTGAGGAGACGAGAGCGTTGAGACCTTTAGCTCACTTTACTGTGAATTTTAAGATCACTAAGCTAGACCTAATCACTCTTTATAGCCTATCTTTGACAAAAGCAGACACTGGCAGTGAGTTTGTAAAGCTTCGTTGACTCACAAACACTTCCAGATCTTGAGGTTAACTGTGTGTGACTGCTGCTCTTTGGCGGCACTGTCTGAATGCGTTTAGCAAGTCACTTCAGAGGTACAGCCACAGATCAAATGCACCTAAGATGCTAAGAAAAGCAGCGACAGATTTTGCTGCGCAGTTCAAAGTCATCAGATGTTTAAATATGTTGAGAGATGCTTCTAAGAAGAAAAAAAAAAAACCTTAATGACATCTCTAAAAGACCAAGTGGTCTGCTTGTTATACTTGTACTTCCTTACTTTCCACAAGGGGCCACATAAATTAAGTGTGTCATACAAAAATTGCTCTAATTAGGCAACAGCTAAATAATTAACACATGCTGATTACCGCAACAGAGGGCCAAATCACAACCAGCATGAAAATAAAATACAGCGGAAAAAAATGACCTAAATTATAGAGGCAACATGATGACAGAAATTTAGTCGTCAGCTCTTGGGGCACAGCAGACGTATTTAGGGCCGCCTGTACTCAATGCCATAACAAGACGCGGGCTATCACACACAAAATAATACGTGACAAAATTATAATGCCACAACCCCCTGACTGACGTTTCTGTTTTATCGCCTTTAAGAGAAGGCTCATTTGTTACACATCACAATGTCCTCATCATTATTAATAGTAAACGAGCAATTTGCATGTAGCCGATTAATATATGAAATGGACATTAAATGTCATCTTAATTGACACTGGTCAACAATTTTTTTTACTCAGAGATGCAAGTAAACGAGATTTTTTTTTTTTTTGTGCTGAGTCCGAATCTGCACTCATTTTTTTCCCTCTAGTACATAATTTTTTCATCAGTTACCACCATCATCATTATCATCATAATATGATCACAGTTATGTAATATATATATATATAGTATGTGGATTTTTTCAAGCTATAAATTACAATGCATGGTAAAATAAATCTGTAGTGTGCAAGCTTTTATAGGTCAAAATTAAAAACAACAAACTAAACTATTTCAAAGACCGAATGTGTGAGAAAAAAGTTAAGACACATAAGAAATCAGCGTTAAAAATCACATAGAGACATTTTTGATTAAAATCTGCTGTTAACCAGTGTAATTAATTGTTTCCAACCGCTTTGGAAAACAATTATTTCATCTTGTCTTCACTAATATTTTTTGGGACAGGAAAAAAGAATTTTTTCCAGTGTATTTATCAAGTGAATGCAGTATTAGTCTGCAGCCTTTTATTGCTGCGCAGCCTAGATTCTGTTGCATTCAATACAACACTTGGTTTCACTGTTTCTTGATTTGCACTTATTTTCTTATGTATTTACCCACACACAAAGCCTCTTCTGTCTTCCTTCTGCTCATCCCTTAAGGTTGTGCTCATTTCTGGCATCAAAATTAATTGCAGGCTTTAAGAATTGCCAGAAAGCCAAACAGACCCACAGACATTTTAATGGAGTTACTTCTTGAAGGCATTCCATTGGTGCACATCTTATTCACTTGCTGATTGAAATCTGTACATTGCGCATGGGCCATTGAACCACACAGAACAGTGTGTGTGTACACATTATTCTCCTATGATGCTGTATTATGAGCTGATGAAAAAGATGTCTGTCCACCCATCTGTCTGATCAGCTGAGGGTTGAAGAGAAAGTAGCACGCCCAAACACCCGGAGAAAAACTGAACTCGAAGCAGATGTACGCTCTCTCATTATCATAATGTTTTTGTGCACTGAGTGGCTGAGAGAACACTCGAGCGGTGAAAAACAAAGACTGAAACCACAAGTGCCTGGAAAATCGTTAGGGCTTGAAAAGTGTGCAGCACCTGTGTGCCTAAACTGATGCTGACAGAGCGGAGTTTTGGAGAGAAGACTTTTCCCTCGTTGCTTGAGGACATTACATGATGTCAGATTCACGTGTTTTGTCTTTATTCTCTAACAATTGTTACATCGGTAGGTATTCAGCGACGGGAAGAAAAATTAAACGTCGAGGCACCGTTGAAGCCTGCTGTGTAGCCAAAGATGGGCTTTTGTGGAATGTGCAGTGTATGTCGTGTGGGCGCACCTCAGGCGGTGCATGGGTCTGTACGTAATTAATAGAAGAAAGTCATTACAATCTACAGCGGCACCTGTTTCTGTCCTTGGTAATGCATCACTACCTGGCTGTTGCTACCCCGATTTTGACAGAGGACATCTGTTCAAATCCTTCTTTTGTAAATCTGAAACAAGGCGCAATCGTTTACCATCACCACAATATTAGGTGTAAAAATTTGCCAGACATTGACCCTGCGTACCTATGCACAACCTCAAAAGTTGAATCCAATCCAGTTTGTGATGTTGCTCGGCTTCAGTGTTATTCTAATTGCTACAGTCCATCCATCCATCCATTCATGTTCCGATCCGCGTATCCTCACAAGGGTCGCGCAGAGTGCTGGAGCCCATCCCAGCCGTCTCAGGGCAATAGGCGGGGGACACCCTGAACTGGTTTGCCAGCCAATCGCAGGGCACACAGATGATCAACTATCCGCGCTCACACTCACACCTAGGGACAATTTAGAGTCTTCAATCAGCCTGCCATGCATGTTTTTGGAATGTGGGAGGAAACCGGAGTAACAGGAGAAAACTCATGCAGGCCCGGGGAGGACATGCAAACTCCACACAGGGAGGCCGGAGCTGGAATTGAACCCGGTACCTCTGCACTGTGAGGTCGACGCACTCACCACGGGGTCACCGGGCCGCCCGCTACAGTACATATTTATATCAAAACACCTCACCATGAATCGACAACAATAAAATGAAAAACAGTAAATAGGGCAGTAACTGCGTCTGCCTTCTTATACAGACGACGTATGCTGACACCGCAGAGAAAACTCGTTCAATGTGTGCCCGTAAAAAATAACATGTTTTATTCACAATTAATATTTCCTGGAAAAAAAAAAACTCTAGACCATAAATACAAAACAATCAAAAGTAAAACAGTAAGTAGCTCTTGTACGGTGTGCCGCAAATTATCAGCTTTTTTGGAAGTGAACAATGAGAACCGATTCCTGATTGGGTTGTTTTTTCCTGTCTCTTTCCTGTAAAAGAAACGAGTGGTTCATCAAGATGTACGGCTTAAACTTCGTTCTGTTTTCACTATGTATCTATCATAATGCCAACGTCCACGGTGGCAGTACCAAAAAATAAAAAAATAACACCATTGCAGAGGAAAAAATGTTCCGGCATCAAGGGGATACAGATCTGTCATTCTGCATGACCTGGCAGCTGAAGAGGACAGGTTGAGAAAAAGAAAAGAAAAAAAACATCAACAACAACAACTGTGGTGGTCTGTGTGTGAACAAGAAGCAGACTACTCGGGGGGGTTGGGGGAGGGGACACTCAACACAGCACAAAAACAAGCGGGTACAAGAAAGCACTGCTACACTGTATATTGAGATGTTACAGGTAGGGTGAAAAAATGAGCCTCAAACATGAAAGTCAAATTTGGCCACGTTTTAAAATGAATAAATAGATTGAGGGCAAGTGCAGATTCTCCAAAAATTAAATTTTCTCGTCGTGTAGGCTCCACAAACAAACAACCTGCACACCCATCTCTTCAGTTAGAGGAGAAAAGACAAGGAAGGGAACATGCTTCGGGGACGTGAGAGTGTGTCACCTGCACCTGTTTCTGCTTCTACAATAGTTCAACAGGCAGCATTAAAACACATTTGGAGCTTTGTTAGTTTGGGCTGTTGAAGAAAATGATCAATATTGCTTCGCGTAATTGTTTTTATGCGACAGGCTATTTCATTAGTGTCTGTTTGATAAAAAATATTTTGCATGAAGAATTTTGGCAATACAATGATACAATCTTATTTAACATTGGGATATTAAACAGGGCAAAGTTAAAAAAAAAAAAATATATATATATGTATATTCTATGTCTATAGAATCACAAAATGATTTCAACTTTGTGCATGCAACAAGTCTGGAGAATCATTTGTATGTGAATTTTGTTCATATACGGTAAGCCTTCAACTCTGCATGTGGTCTTGACACAAAGAGCGAGTCACGCATTGTGCTTGGGGCATTGTGTTTCCGTGCACTTACATCCAGTATATAGGCTATTACAGTTTGTGTTGCCTTTGGGGCTAAAGATTGAGTGCATTCCATTGTTGGGTTTCGGTCTTTGCACATGCACAAAGTGAAATCTCTAGATTCTCTTGTAATGCCCTAATGATTGTGGAAAGAGAACAATGCTTTTACTTGATGAATTCTGTACAACTGTGCATTGAGAAATACTTTGGCGTGGCTTTACCAGGTTTTTCATGAGGTGATGAACATCCTTTGTCGAAAAAAGAAAAAAAAATGTCTCCAGTGGATTAAATCAGTGTTATAATTTCACCAATAACTTTGACTTCTACTACTACTACTACACCTAATTGTAATATCCATTCATCCATCCAGATTCTGATCTGCTTATCCTCACAAGGGTCACGGGCCGTGCTGGAGCTGCTTTCTCTTGAGGCAAACGGAGGGGCTGTTTGGACGCTTGGGAGTTAAGTACAGATGTGTACACTGAAGCATGGGCAGAGCTTCAGCCTACAACAGCTATTGATTTTGCCCTGACTCTGATTAGGGGGCTCCTGGTTGCAGTCAACATCATAGATCAATGGACTATACAGTGAAACCGATGGTCCCAGCAGGGATCCAATATTTGGCTTCTAATTAATAACAGTCTTGATTAGCTTTAAAATGAGAAGAGTCCCTTAGCATAGGAGACAGTTCAGCATGAGTGGCTTCCAACTGTCCAGGCACTAGATGGAAAAATGACAATCGATAATACATGCAAGATCCTTGCAATTACTTGTTTTGGAGTGCTGGGCACTTTAACTGGCCCAGTAACATTATGATGAAATATGCTCCTCTCCTACAGCTGTATATCTTGTGTTGTAAAAATAAGAATGTCAAATACACGACATAAAACAACTGCTTCTATGAACCAATTCATTTTACTTTGAGATTCTTGATAACAGCAAAACAGCTAGATGTCAACATTTCAATCAAATTTACTTTTTCGGAA